CCCCGGCCCTCAGCCTGTCCACCCAGCTGTCGTGGGAACCTCGGCCCTCAGCCTGTCCACCCAGCTGTCGTGGGAACCCCGGCCCTCAGCCTGTCCACCCAGCTGTCGTGGGAACCTCGGGCTTCAGCCTGTCCACCCCGCTGCTGTGGGGCCCGGGCCTGGGGCTCACCCGCCGGTACTTCTCACTGGTCTCCTTCGTGTGGATCTTGTCGATCAGCTTCCTCTGCTGGTTGAGCCAGTTCTCCCTGGCCCTGCGCTCCTCGATGAAGGACACCTGCTTTTGTCTCATGTTCCTCTGGGGACATGGGGTGGGCAGGGGTCAGTGACTGTCTCAACAAGGGCCCTCATGGCACTGAAGCCAGCAGCCGGTTGGCCATCCTCACCTTACTAGACTTGGAAAATGCATCCCCGCCACCAGCCGCACTGTCTTCCTAAACCACCCGTGCCCCTGCCCATGGCTGCCTCCGCTTAGGGCCCTGCTTGCCCATGCCTCTTGGAGCATGTGCCAGCCCAGATGTTCCACTGCCCTTCAGCCCCTGGCCCCCAGCTGCCTCCTAGCCAGGTCTGTGGAAAACTCACAAAAGTAGATTGAGCCTGCCTGAAAACAGAGTCATCCTCCCCAAAACCTGGCCTCTTCCAGCATGCCCTTGGGTAGCTAAAACCATCCTCTGCCCACCCCTGCTCACGCACCCAGAGCCTGCCCTCACCCTTGCCACTCCCGCTGCCAGAGCTTAGTGAGGTTGCCTCTTGAGAACGTCTCGGTTCCGTTGCTCCCGGCCAACCCTTGCCCCGGCCTGCCCAGGTGATCAGTGCCTCTGCCCTGGCACCTTCCAGTGCCTGCAGTCTGATTGCACCCTTTCTGAAGCACAGACCTGGTCACATCTTCCCTCCACCTCCTCCCAGGGCTTCAGGTCAGTGCGTAGCTCCCGGCCCAGCAGACTCCGCTGCCGGGACTTCACCTCCTCCTCCAGCACCTGCACCTTTGCAGGTCTGCTCCCTGAGCCCAGCTCAAGCACTGCCTCCCTGGAAAGCCATCTGCCGCCCACCTCTCTCTGCCAGGCTGGCCCTGGGGCTGTGTGACATTTCTTCACGGACTTGGATGAGTGCCACCCACTTCAGGAGGGCCGGGCCTGCCTGTCCTGGTGCCTGCTGTATCCCCAGAGCCTGGCAGGGGCCTTGGGGGATACAGACTGGGTGAGCGGAGACCCCTGCTCTGCCCTGGCCGATTCTCTGCCTCCTCTACTTCATGGCTCCTTGGCCTGACGGGACCTGCTCTGTCCAGCGGGCGAGCAGCGCAGGCTGGCAGGGCTGGCCACTGGATCCTGCCAGGGATTGTAGGCATTGTGGGCGTGGGGGTCTCCTGAGGGACCCTGGCCAGGAAGATCTGAGAGAGCCAGCCCTAGAGGGCCCCCAGCCCACCTTAACCTCATCTGTGATCATCATGGCGTCTTGGGACATGTTTTTCATATCCGACAGCTCCGAGCAGTAGGTGACCGCCAGGTTCTGCAGCTTGTCCAGCTCGGTGGGGTATCCAGCCAGCACCTGTGTTGAGTGAGGCTCTCTTGTGGCCCCTACAGAGTGGGGCTGTCACCCCCAGACTCAGACCCCTGAGGAGAGTGATCGTTTCTGCTCTGTGGCCCCAGCACCCCTGCCAGGCATAAAACGGATGAAAGGAAGTGTTTCATGGGGAGTGGACGGTGCTGGCCTGGTGGACTCCCACCACCCGGGGCCCAACAACCTAGAGACACAGAAAGAGGCTGGGCCTAAATGATATGCCATGGAGAAAGCTGATTCTGAAGCCCGGGACATTTGGGAGCAGCTTTGCTCTGAAGTGAAGCAGAGGGGTCAGGACATGGGCTTGGGGTCAGTGAGTCGGGATTCAAGGCCAAGGCTGCTGCTGACCAGCTATCTTGGCTGTGTGACATTAATGTCATTTAACCTCTCTGAGTGTCCCCTTCTGTAAGAGGGTGATAATGGCTCTTCAGAAGGTTGCTGTCAGGATGAATTGAGAGTATAAAATAGAAAGTATGTAGCCCAGAACCAGGTTCGTCATGTTCAGGATAGCTTTGCTGTTAGTATTTTGTTTTTCATAGCAATAAATACAGAATCTTTTTTTTTTTTTTTTTTGTTTTGGTTTTGTTTTTAGTTTCTTTTTTTATTGTTTTTTAAGTTTTGGGGTACATGTGAAGAACATGCAAGATTGTTGCATAGGTACTCATCAAGTTTCTTCAAATATTTATCACACAATTCTTTTGTTCATCTGATACAGTGAATAAAAATATTTTAATAATTTTTTTTTTTTTTTTNGCAGTGGCGCAATCTCAGTTTGCTGCTGCAACCTCTGTTTCCCGGTTAAAGCAATTCCCCTGCCTCAGCCTCCTGAGTAGCTGGGATTACAGGCACACACCACCATGCCTGGCTAACTTTTGTATTTTTAGTAGAGATAGGATTTTATTACATTGGCCATGCTGGGGTCCAATTCCTGACCTCAGGTGATCCACCCACCTTGACCCCCCAAAGTGTGGGATTACAGGCGTGAGCCACCACACCTGGCCTAAAACTATTTTTAAAAATATGGATGACTGTGGGAATTACTGGGTTTTTTTGTTTTTTTTCTGAGACTGATTCTTACTCTATCACCCAGGATGGAGTGGAATGGCAAGATCTCGGCTTGCTGCAACCTCTGCCTCCTGGATTCAAGGGATTCTCATGGCTCAGCCTCCAGAATAGCTGGGATTGCAGGCACACACCACCACGCCCAGCTCAGTTGTATTTTTAGTAGAGATGGGGTTTCACCATGTTGGTTAGGCTGGTCTCAAACTCCCGACCTCAAGTGATCACCCACCTTGGCCTCCCAAAGTGCTGGGGTTACAGGCATGAGTCCCCATGCCCGGGCCGGGAATTACTGTTTTTTAAGTGTGTATGTTCTAAACAGAGGAAGGTGATGCCGGGGTACAGAAAGCACCAGCAGAAGGAGGGGCGTGGACAGGGGTGTGGGGAGGGGTGGGCCCCGGAAGGAAAGAGGGGCAGGGTTTCCAGGTGAGCCAACAGGACCAGGGGCCAAAGTAAGAGGGACAAGCAGGAGGACGGAGCTGGGAGCCACCCGGGCTGGGACAGCTGCAGAAAACAGCTGCGATGCCACCCCCACCTCCCACCCTCCCCCTAAACTGCACTTCCATGCTGTCACCTTCCTGAAGCATGGATCTCCAGAGCGCCCCTTCGCCCAGTCTTAGTGTGAGGGTGTCTGGGAGTTTCCTCTGCCCCACTTTCCAGCTGACTCTGTGCTCCATCCACACATGGGCTCTCACACACATGCCCTCACACGCTCACATACATGCTCACACGTGCTCTCACAAACACGTGCTCACACGCACTCGTGCTCACATACGCATGCTCACGTGCTCACAGATGCGCTTATGCGCACACGTGCTCACATACGTGCTCTCACATACGCTCACAGACATGCTCACGTTCCCATGTGCTCTCTTAGCACACCTAAAGCACTCTCTCTCCACACCTATAGTGCACCTGGAGCAGCTCCTGCTTTGTGGACGGCTGAGGGGCAGTGCTCAGCCTCCGTGAAGGGGGCCTGCCTCACAATTGAACCGCTGGCCTCGTCTACAGTGAACCGGGCGGGTGGGCCGGGTGGGCCGGCTGGGATGGCAGCAAGCCCTGCTTACAGGCACGGGCAACCCTCAAAAGTTCGAGGACTTCCTGAGGGTGCAGGACCTGTCTCTGACTGTCAGAGGCCCAGGCAATCAGAAGATGATGGGCAAAATACACTAAATCATTTACTATGTGCAAGAAAGTCCAAAGAATTCTGATACACCCTCAAGATGTGCTTTTTTGAAATAGCCAAAAATGAAGTTTTTGGGTTGTTTTGAGATGGAGTCTCGCTCTGTCACCCAGGCTGGAGTGCAATGGCACGATCTCCGCCCACTGCAACCTCCACCTCCCAGGTTCAAGCAATTCTCTGCCTCAGCCTCCTGAGCAGCTGGGACTAAAGGCACACACCACCACACCCGGCTAATTTTTGTATTTTTACTAGTGACGAGATTACACCATCTGGGCCAGGTGGACTCCTGACCTCGTGATCCACCTGCCTTGGCCTCCCAAAGCGCTGGGATTACAAGCGTGAGCCACCGCGCCCAGCCCAAAAATGAAGTTTTAAAAAACATTTATCACATGCTTCAACGTCCTACATAGCCGGTGCTCAAGCAGAACCCAGGACGCTTCCGGCCCTCCCAGCTCCCAGCCCCGGACCCGCCCCTCCCGGGCCGCTGAGCTCACTTTCTTCAGGTAATCCAGCAGGTCCAAGTACAGCAGGTGGATGTTCTGGCTGGTGGTGATCTTGATCGTTGTCTTCTCGATGTTGTTCTCCAGCTGGCGGATGATCTGGGGCGAACCGAGGGCGCGCTGAGGGCGCTTGGGGACCAGCCGCCCAGAGGGCGTCGGGCCTGGGCTTTCTTCGGAGGGGGTCGTGCTCTCCCAGCCCGCCCCTCCCGCGAGCCCTGCCCCGGGGGCCCCGCCCCTCTCCCCCCCAGCCCTGCCCCGGGGGCCCCGCCCCTCTCCCCCCCCCAGCCCTGCCCCGGGGGCCCCGCCCGGCCCCCCCCCCCCCCCCCCCCGCCGCTCCCCCTTGCCCCCCCCCCCCCCCCGCCCGCCAGCTCCCGCTGCATGCCCCCCCCCCTCTCCCCGCGCCGCCGCACCAGGTGGATCAGCAGGTTGTGCGCGTTCACACGGTCGAAAACGTACTTGCGCAGCTTCTCTTGCGCCACCTGGGTCGGGAAGGGCACCAACCGCGCGTAGGTGCGCAGGGGGCCGCCACGGAGCCCGCCAGCAGTAGGCGGGTGGAGGCTCGTGGCAACCCCACAGGGACCCTGGGGCTGGGCACCTGCTCCGTCCCTCATCCGCCCCGCAACATCTAGTGGGGGGGTGCGCTGGCAGGGAGGGCAGGGTTGGGTCTCGAGGCCCCACGTGCCTGGTTACCTCCATGGTGCTGCGGCAGTGCGCCAGCCGCAAGGGCGCGTTTTTCCCGCAGGCCTTGGAGATGGTCCACTGGTCATACTGCAGAGCAGTGGCGGCTGAGCTGAGGCGGGCCCTCCAGGCATTCCCCCCAGGGCCTCTTGTATCCCGTGCGAGCTCAGCAGTGAGATCTCCTGCTCCCATGAGGAGCAGAGCGCCGCGGGACCCCATCCTGGCCACCCAAGCTCGGATGCGACGGGGTTGGGGGAAGGTGGGCATGCAGAGGAGGGCCCAGGTTTCCCCTAGCTGGCTGGAGAGCCAGAGAGGCCCTGCTGCAGGATGTGGGGTCACAGATGCCAAGCCCTCTGGGGTGAACCTGCCCACCAGATGCTGGGGTGACTGGAGCGCTGGACACAGGTTCTAGCAGAGCCCCTCCTCACATGCCCCCTGGCTCCAGGAAGGTCGGGGTGGGGGTGGAGAAGAGGTGCCCGCCCTCTCCCTGTGTGTCCTCTGCTCCCCAGGCCGCCGAGAGGAGCGGGGTTTGTGCACCTTCTTGGCCAAAGCCCAGTCCTGGGCCCCCCGGCGGATCTTGCTGTGCAGGAGTGCCAGCGTGGCCTTGTTCTGGTTCATACTCTCTTTCAGCCCCTGGATCTGGAGGGCCCGACACTGCTCTGTGGGCAGGTGGAGGGGTCAGAGTGGCCAGGATTGGGCCAAGGGCCTGACCTGGAATCCTCCAGGGGAGGCTTGAATTAGGAGGCTCTGGGTCTGGGGGGATGCCACCTCCATGGCCGAGATCCCTCCTCCCGCCCTGTCCTGGGGGACACCACTCCACTGCCCAGCAGCGGCTGTCTGAAGGGCTCTCAGCGGACAGGTACAGGGCTCACGCCTGTAATGCCAACATTTTGGGAAGCCAAGATGGGCGGATCACCTGAGGTCAGGAGTTTGAGACCAGCCTGGCCAACAGCCTGAAACCTTGTCTTTACTAAAAATACAAAACTAGCTGGGCATGGTGGCACATGCCTGTAGTCCCAGCTACTTGGGAGGCTGAGAGGAGAATCATTTGAACCCGGGAGGTGGAGGTTGCAGTGAGCTGAGATTACACCACTACACTCCACCTGGGTGACAGAGCGAGACTCCATCTAAAAATAATAATAAAAATACAAAAATTAGCGGGATGTGGTGGTGCACACCTGATGTCCCAGCTACTAGGGAGGCTGAGGCAGGAGAATCGCTTGAACCTGGGACATGAAGGTTGCAGCGAGCCGAGATTGTGTCACTGCACTCCAACCTGTGACAGAGTGAGACTCCATCTCAAAACAAAACAAACCCATGAAAGTTGTGCACCCTCAAACCCCGAGCCCCAGGCGGGCACGCCAGGCAGGCTCACCCTGGAGCCGAGTGATAGTCTTCAGCTCCTGGGTCTGCTCCTCCACTTCTGTCTCGCTGTGCCTCCTCATGGCTGCCCCCAGTGACCCTGTGTACCTCAAAGCCTCCCTGGGCTCGCCTTGCTCAGAGCTGCCACTCAGACCGTCCCCAGAACCTCAGTGCATTATGAGGAGAGCCAGGGTTCTCACCGCCTGGGCAACGCCGGAATTGCAGGGCCTCCCTGCCCCACTCTGCCCCCAGCCACCTTGGGGCGGCTTCTGGACCTGTGTCCTAATTGAAACGAGTCTCCTGGCAGCTGCCCGAGACTTAGCTCTGCTGGGCGCATGTGTCGCTTTCTTTGAGGGGGAGGTTTGTGATGGGTCGGCAGCACCAGCACCCCGCACCTGCACCAGGTTCCCTCCCATGCCCCAGTCCGTCCTCCACAAAGCAGCTGGGTGAGCCTCCTAAAGTTTATTCTGTTCCTGCCTTACGGGACCTCCATCTGCACCCCTACCTGTAGCCCCAAGTCCAGACCCCATGCCCCGGGTGACCCGGCTCTTGGGACACCCCAGCCTTATCTCTTCTGACTTCTGTCCCTGACCTTGGCCATGCTGCCTGGAGCCCACCCTGCTTTGCCCCCACTTTCCTTTGGGAATTACTGGGTCTTGGGTTCATGTGTCAGAAGGGATTAGTTCCCATCTTTGCACCCCCTCCGCCCTTCCCTTTGAGAGATGTGCCTGGAGCACCAAGCAGCCTGGAACTCTGTGGGGTATGCACGAGATGATGGGGTACCTTTTCCCCGCCTTGCCTTAGTAGGCTCAGGTGGCCATAACAAGGTGCAGTAGCTGGGCACAGTGGCTCACGCCTGTAACCCTTGCACTTTGGGAGGCTGAGGTGGGTGGATCACCAGAGGTCAGGAGTTTGAGACCAGTCTGGTCAATATGGAGAAATCCTGTTTCTACTAAAAATAGGAAAATAGCCTGGTGTGGTGGTGGGTGCCTGTAGTCCCAGCTACTTGGGAAGCAGAGGGAGAACTGCTTGAACCCAGGAGGTAGAGGTTGAGTGAGCCAGGTGGGTAAACCCCCTTCTGGGCACCGAGGAAGGAGAGCTAAGCAGACCCCCGGAACAATTAGTGCCTGAAGAGTATCCTAGTTTATAGTGTTACTACTCAGTTATTTCCTTGTATATATATAATCCTTTATATATAATCATATGTTAATCTATAGTCAGAACAATTAGTGCCTGAGGAATACCTTACTACTCAGTTATATGTTAGTTTATAGTCGGAGGAATGTCTAGAGCAGACACGGTACAGAGCATGAATTAAGGGAAAAACAGTTATACCAGGACAAGAATCTGTGGCCCAGGCGGCAGTGCCTCTGCCTGAAAGGGCATGCGCTACATAGCAGGCTGGCCCAGGCGGCAGCGTTCGGTATCATAAAGATACCCGCTGTATGACAGGCTTGGAGCAAGTCACTCCTCCTGAAAAGGAGTTGCAGTACCTTGCGTCCGGTTCTTGTGGAAGGCTGGCCTCAGGCCGGCAAGCCTGCGGGCATCAGAGGGCTTAAAACCCCTCCAGTGTAATCGAGCCTAGGCGGTTGTATACCTTGTCAGCCCTGCTGCTACGTACTGATTCAAGGCATCCTCGTATAGAATCATTGGAAGCCGCCAGCAGGTGGCTGGAGACCCTGACAACTCTTTACTGTGCTGATTCAAAAGCATCCTCCGATAGAATTCCTTAGAAGCAGCCTGCCCCTAGATAAGAAGTGTTCCACACTGCACCCCCTTCACTGCGCACAGCCCACCTCCTTGCCTCGGAGACCCAATGGGGGTGGACCCCNCCCCGCCCGGTCCTCCCACCTGCAGCAGCCGCCGCTCCTCCTTGCTGGCGTCCGGCTGGCTCCGCAGGCTGGCCAGCTCCAGATGCATGCTCTCCAACTTCTCCCCGCGCCGCCGCACCAGGTGGATCAGCAGGTTGTGCGCGTTCACACGGTCGAAAACGTACTTGCGCAGCTTCTCTTGCGCCACCTGGGTCGGGAAGGGCACCAACCGCGCGTAGGTGCGCAGGGGGCCGCCACGGAGCCCGCCAGCAGTAGGCGGGTGGAGGCTCGTGGCAACCCCACAGGGACCCTGGGGCTGGGCACCTGCTCCGTCCCTCATCCGCCCCGCAACATCTAGTGGGGGGGTGCGCTGGCAGGGAGGGCAGGGTTGGGTCTCGAGGCCCCACGTGCCTGGTTACCTCCATGGTGCTGCGGCAGTGCGCCAGCCGCAAGGGCGCGTTTTTCCCGCAGGCCTTGGAGATGGTCCACTGGTCATACTGCAGAGCAGTGGCGGCTGAGCTGAGGCGGGCCCTCCAGGCATTCCCCCCAGGGCCTCTTGTATCCCGTGCGAGCTCAGCAGTGAGATCTCCTGCTCCCATGAGGAGCAGAGCGCCGCGGGACCCCATCCTGGCCACCCAAGCTCGGATGCGACGGGGTTGGGGGAAGGTGGGCATGCAGAGGAGGGCCCAGGTTTCCCCTAGCTGGCTGGAGAGCCAGAGAGGCCCTGCTGCAGGATGTGGGGTCACAGATGCCAAGCCCTCTGGGGTGAACCTGCCCACCAGATGCTGGGGTGACTGGAGCGCTGGACACAGGTTCTAGCAGAGCCCCTCCTCACATGCCCCCTGGCTCCAGGAAGGTCGGGGTGGGGGTGGAGAAGAGGTGCCCGCCCTCTCCCTGTGTGTCCTCTGCTCCCCAGGCCGCCGAGAGGAGCGGGGTTTGTGCACCTTCTTGGCCAAAGCCCAGTCCTGGGCCCCCCGGCGGATCTTGCTGTGCAGGAGTGCCAGCGTGGCCTTGTTCTGGTTCATACTCTCTTTCAGCCCCTGGATCTGGAGGGCCCGACACTGCTCTGTGGGCAGGTGGAGGGGTCAGAGTGGCCAGGATTGGGCCAAGGGCCTGACCTGGAATCCTCCAGGGGAGGCTTGAATTAGGAGGCTCTGGGTCTGGGGGGATGCCACCTCCATGGCCGAGATCCCTCCTCCCGCCCTGTCCTGGGGGACACCACTCCACTGCCCAGCAGCGGCTGTCTGAAGGGCTCTCAGCGGACAGGTACAGGGCTCACGCCTGTAATGCCAACATTTTGGGAAGCCAAGATGGGCGGATCACCTGAGGTCAGGAGTTTGAGACCAGCCTGGCCAACAGCCTGAAACCTTGTCTTTACTAAAAATACAAAACTAGCTGGGCATGGTGGCACATGCCTGTAGTCCCAGCTACTTGGGAGGCTGAGAGGAGAATCATTTGAACCCGGGAGGTGGAGGTTGCAGTGAGCTGAGATTACACCACTACACTCCACCTGGGTGACAGAGCGAGACTCCATCTAAAAATAATAATAAAAATACAAAAATTAGCGGGATGTGGTGGTGCACACCTGATGTCCCAGCTACTAGGGAGGCTGAGGCAGGAGAATCGCTTGAACCTGGGACATGAAGGTTGCAGCGAGCCGAGATTGTGTCACTGCACTCCAACCTGTGACAGAGTGAGACTCCATCTCAAAACAAAACAAACCCATGAAAGTTGTGCACCCTCAAACCCCGAGCCCCAGGCGGGCACGCCAGGCAGGCTCACCCTGGAGCCGAGTGATAGTCTTCAGCTCCTGGGTCTGCTCCTCCACTTCTGTCTCGCTGTGCCTCCTCATGGCTGCCCCCAGTGACCCTGTGTACCTCAAAGCCTCCCTGGGCTCGCCTTGCTCAGAGCTGCCACTCAGACCGTCCCCAGAACCTCAGTGCATTATGAGGAGAGCCAGGGTTCTCACCGCCTGGGCAACGCCGGAATTGCAGGGCCTCCCTGCCCCACTCTGCCCCCAGCCACCTTGGGGCGGCTTCTGGACCTGTGTCCTAATTGAAACGAGTCTCCTGGCAGCTGCCCGAGACTTAGCTCTGCTGGGCGCATGTGTCGCTTTCTTTGAGGGGGAGGTTTGTGATGGGTCGGCAGCACCAGCACCCCGCACCTGCACCAGGTTCCCTCCCATGCCCCAGTCCGTCCTCCACAAAGCAGCTGGGTGAGCCTCCTAAAGTTTATTCTGTTCCTGCCTTACGGGACCTCCATCTGCACCCCTACCTGTAGCCCCAAGTCCAGACCCCATGCCCCGGGTGACCCGGCTCTTGGGACACCCCAGCCTTATCTCTTCTGACTTCTGTCCCTGACCTTGGCCATGCTGCCTGGAGCCCACCCTGCTTTGCCCCCACTTTCCTTTGGGAATTACTGGGTCTTGGGTTCATGTGTCAGAAGGGATTAGTTCCCATCTTTGCACCCCCTCCGCCCTTCCCTTTGAGAGATGTGCCTGGAGCACCAAGCAGCCTGGAACTCTGTGGGGTATGCACGAGATGATGGGGTACCTTTTCCCCGCCTTGCCTTAGTAGGCTCAGGTGGCCATAACAAGGTGCAGTAGCTGGGCACAGTGGCTCACGCCTGTAACCCTTGCACTTTGGGAGGCTGAGGTGGGTGGATCACCAGAGGTCAGGAGTTTGAGACCAGTCTGGTCAATATGGAGAAATCCTGTTTCTACTAAAAATAGGAAAATAGCCTGGTGTGGTGGTGGGTGCCTGTAGTCCCAGCTACTTGGGAAGCAGAGGGAGAACTGCTTGAACCCAGGAGGTAGAGGTTGAGTGAGCCAGGTGGGTAAACCCCCTTCTGGGCACCGAGGAAGGAGAGCTAAGCAGACCCCCGGAACAATTAGTGCCTGAAGAGTATCCTAGTTTATAGTGTTACTACTCAGTTATTTCCTTGTATATATATAATCCTTTATATATAATCATATGTTAATCTATAGTCAGAACAATTAGTGCCTGAGGAATACCTTACTACTCAGTTATATGTTAGTTTATAGTCGGAGGAATGTCTAGAGCAGACACGGTACAGAGCATGAATTAAGGGAAAAACAGTTATACCAGGACAAGAATCTGTGGCCCAGGCGGCAGTGCCTCTGCCTGAAAGGGCATGCGCTACATAGCAGGCTGGCCCAGGCGGCAGCGTTCGGTATCATAAAGATACCCGCTGTATGACAGGCTTGGAGCAAGTCACTCCTCCTGAAAAGGAGTTGCAGTACCTTGCGTCCGGTTCTTGTGGAAGGCTGGCCTCAGGCCGGCAAGCCTGCGGGCATCAGAGGGCTTAAAACCCCTCCAGTGTAATCGAGCCTAGGCGGTTGTATACCTTGTCAGCCCTGCTGCTACGTACTGATTCAAGGCATCCTCGTATAGAATCATTGGAAGCCGCCAGCAGGTGGCTGGAGACCCTGACAACTCTTTACTGTGCTGATTCAAAAGCATCCTCCGATAGAATTCCTTAGAAGCAGCCTGCCCCTAGATAAGAAGTGTTCCACACTGCACCCCCTTCACTGCGCACAGCCCACCTCCTTGCCTCGGAGACCCAATGGGGGTGGACCCCTTGCTGCGCACTGCCCATTTCCTAGCCTAGGTGACCTAATGGGGGTGGACCTCTTGTTTATTGCTCACATGATTGCCTTGACCCTATCACTGTCCTTAAGATGACCCCACTCACTACCCTGCCCGCTAACCTGTACCCAATAAATAGGTGCTCCTGGAAGTTTGGGGCCTCGCCTGTCTCCCCTTGTAGGTGGCGAGGCCCCCGAGCACAGCTGCACTTTGTCCTTCTGTGTCTTTATTTCTTGGATCCTGCACCTAAGCACAGCGATGGGGACACCCCACGACCCTGTAGGGCTTGACCCCACAAGCTGAGATCGTGCCACTGCACTCCAGCCGGGGCGACAGAGTAAGACTCTGTCTCAAAAAAACAAAAACAAGGTGCCATGGAGTGTGGGGTATGAACAGCCGCCTGGAGGCTGCAAGCAGACAGCCCGGGTGAGCAGGCCTGGTGTCCCCTGAGGCCCCTCTCCGTGGCCTGCAGACGCCGTCTTCTCCCTGTGTCCTCACGTGGTCGTTCCTCTGTGTGTCTGTGTCCTAATTTCGTCTTATGAGGACACGAGTCCATTGGATTAGGGCCCACCCCAATGACCTCATTTTACCGTAATGGCCCCTGTAAAGCCCCATCTCCAAATACAGCGACACGCTGAGGTCCTGGGGGTCAGGGCCTCATACAGGAATTTGAGGGGACCCAAGCCTGCCTGACAGTGGCCTTTGCCCGTGCTGTCACAGCGTCTTCCTCTGCGAGCTCTCACACAGTTCCCTTCCTTTCCTGGTCACTGTTTGGAAAGCCAGCCCAGGAAAACTCCAGGTTCAGCAAGCCAGGCCTTACCCTCAGGGTGCTCGGATGACCTGCTAAAGGTGTGGTCTGCTCACCTCCCCTTGTTTTGGAGGTCCAAGCTTGGAATCCAGCTGAGGCAGAGACTACCTGCTGGCCTTCTTCCTCAGATATGAAACACCTGAATGTGAGTGGGCACATGGCTGCCCAGAGCAAGTCTGCCTTCCTGAGCTTCCCGGCAATGGATGCTCCCAACGACTTCGTTCAGGCCAACAGAGCGAGAGCAGCAGTGGCGGCAAGCTGCCCTTTCCTCCCTCAGATGACATAAAGACACAATGGCCCTGTGGGAGGCCGAGGCGGGTGGATCACGAGGTCAAGAGATCGAGACCATCATGGTCAAAACGGTGAAACCCCGTCTCTACTAAAAACTACAAAAAATTAGCTGGGCATGGTGGCGTGTGCCTGTAATACCAGCTACTCAGGAGGCTGAGGCAGGATAATTGCCTGAACCCAGGAGGCGGAGGTTGCGGTGAGCCGAGATCGCGCCATTGCACTCCAGCCTGGGTAACAAGAGCGAAACTCCGTCTCAAAAAAAAAAAAAAAAAAAAGACACAATGGCCAAAGCTGGTGCAGCCACCGGGGGCCATGAGGCAGATTTGGGGACAGAGGCCACTGCAGCAGGAGTAGAAAGGAGCCCAGTCCCTGACTCCGTCAACCCCGGAGAACCCACTTGGACTTTTACACGATAAATGAAGCTTGGCCGGGCACAGTGACTCAGGCCTATAATCCGAGCAGCTTAGGAGGCTGAGGTGGGCGGATCACCTGAGGTTAGGAGTTCAAGCTGGCCAACATGGTGAAACCCTATCTCTACTAAAAATACAAAAATCAGCCAGGCATGGTGGTGTGCACCTGTAATCCCAGCTACTCGGGAGGCCGAGGCTGGAGAATCGCTTGAATGGCAAGACGGAAGCTGCAGTGAGCTGAGATCATGTCCCTGCCCCCCAGCCTGAGTGACAGAACAAGACTCGGTCTCAAAAAAACAAAACAAAACAAAACACAAAAACCAGAAAAATACAGTTCCATCTTGCTGAAGCCAGTCATCTTCAGCTTCCTGACACTTTGAAGACGCAGTAGGTACTCAGTTCTTTCCAGTGACTGGCAAAGTGAGGTGGGGGCTGAGCTGGGGCTGGAGCAGCAGGGGTGGGGCTGTGGGCCTCGGTGCTGCGGGGAGCCAGCTGTGACCACGACGGGCTGGCTGAGGTTGTTTGGTGTCCACCTCTTCCTTCTGTTGGGGCTGGAGCTGTGGGTAGACTTGTCCACTCAGAAGCTTTCCTTGTGCACTGACACTGCTCCAACAGCCTAGCTCTGCCTCTGGGGAGTCACTTCAGCTGATAGACAAGTGTGGGATGATAGGCAGGTGGGCGTAGCCCATATCCCTCCTCTCCCAGCAGCCAAGCTCTGGCCTGCCTCACCCCTTTAGCTTTGCCCCCTACACACCAAGTGCTACAGGGGCAGACCCCCATACAGAGAGGCTGTGGTGATCTCATGTGGCCTCGGGGCTGGCGCGAACGTCTAATTCTGGGGTTCGGTGTTGGGAACTTCCCTGTACATCCTCAGTATGTAACTTATACGTGAACCTCATGTATCAAACGCAGGGTAATAAAGGTGTCATGCGACCGGTCACCATCCTACCCTTCTGATTTGTTTTTCACCTGCCCCGGTGGAAACTCAGGTGGAGAGGAGGGTAAGCCGTTTATTAACCACACGCCCTAGCACCAGCTGTCACCTTGGACTTGTCGGAGGTAAAGGGGCCAGAAAGGGAATGACAGCGTGCACCAGCCCTAGGCGGGGGCTCCCAGACACACGCTCTCTGCTGGCAATGCGGACCGTGCATCTGGACAACCTGGAGGAGAACCACCACCCAGGGAGGGCCCCTTCTGCTCCAGCCTACTGGGCGCGTCCCAGGTGGGGGCAGAAGCTGTCTGCAGGGGCTGTCAGGCCTGGCCATGCACGTGGACAGAGAACATGGTTGGGGCACCCTAGGGTGTGGGGAGGGTCAGCCTGGGGCTGGGGGGCATGAAGGCTTGTTCCAGGACTCCTCCTGCTCCCGACCTCTGAGCCCCGGCTGGAGCTCTCCTAGGTTCGCCGATCTGTGAGAGCCAAAGAGAACCAAGCTTGACCCACACTGTCCTGGCTTGGCGTCCTTGCACCCATTTTATCATGGTAAAAACTGGGTCCCACAAGGACAGCAGGCAGTGGGGGCCAGGCCTGGGCCCAGTGCACAGCCTCCCAGTCCAGCCTCACGCCTCCTGCATACCCACGTGGCTGGCTGTGGCCTTGCCATGCCCCTCACTCTGCACCCTTCCTCTCCATTTCAGGGGCACCCCAGCCCCTCTTGGCTCTTCCTCCAGCAAAGGGAGCTCTCCACGATCTGTCTACTGGGCGCACCCCCAGCTCCAGCCCATCTGGGAGTCACATGCTGAGGAGGCTGGGCCAGAGGGAGAGACCTTGTCTAGCCTATC